TCAAATTTTACAAAAGATGCCGAAAATGTCAGGATTACCTGTCTGAAGGTAAGTAATTATTATTTTCTTAGGATTTCCATAGTATTCTGGTCAGAAGTCAAAATCTCACTTTCACAAGCTGTGGATTCATCTGCTTTCCTTCAAGTACTTTTTTGCATGCTCATTTCCATCTGTGAGTGCTCAATGTACGTTTATAAATATTTTTTATTGCAAAGTATGTCAACTCATTCTTTCAATTTCTTTAGCTTCCTAATAGCTAATGTGAATTTTTTTATGATTAAAAACCAAATGAACACTAATATGTGCAAAAGAGAAAAGCAATGAGCAAATTAGGACAACTCCTTTACTTCTTACTGCAAAGAAGAAGAAAACCCATAAATGAAGGGAACCTTCCCATTGTGTTAATTTTTAGCCAAGTGAGATATAATGTCTTTCTTAATATAGGTGTTAGGCACATGGGATCTATAATAGGAGGTTGTGTCTCCAGCCCAGTTTCTGTTACATAAAACCATATGATTAACAATTAAGCTGCATCTTGTTTGAAACTGATCTAGGCGATCTTAATAATTACTCCAGGAAAACAGATATAAACTAGGAGTTCTTACAGGCAAAGGGGAAATAGGCAGTGTGAGGGCTGGGAGTTAAGACCGCATCACCCACCTCCAAGTTTCATCGACCGTGTTTCTTTACCATGTTCCTTTCTTCTTTGCTAGACTGTCCCGATGTCCCTGAACTCCACATGGAATTGGATGAGGCCCTTAGATTGGTCAACGTATCCAATCAGCAATACACCCTGATTCTCCAGATGACCCAGCAGAACATGGAGGACACGTCATATCTGATGGAGAAGATGCGAGAGCAGTTCGGTTGGGTGTCTGCACTGGCAAACCAGGCTCCAGGAATGGAGAACATCGGCAGTTCAACAAAGGTAGCGGCAAGACCCAAGAGCAGACATGGACACTGTATGCACATACCTTGACTTTGCTGTGAATTTACTTATTAATTATATCTGAATTTGAAAACAAGCTATCGGCAGATATTCATATTCCCATTGTGAATATCTAACTGACTTGATTTCATGTGGTATACGGTCCTTAGAAAATAAGAAACTCGATAAAGAAATCAATTTAAAACACAAAATACTTTCTACTTTAGAGATGGCTGATTCTGCTTATAGTTAAAGGGCTATAAATGATAGAGGTAACCTGGAAGAAAACTGGCCAATATAGTTTTTAAGAAAGAAGACTTACAGGTAAGGCAATTTGAGTTCAAAGTTTGACTCTGAAACTTCTCAGCTGAGTAAGCTTGGAAAAGTCCCTTAACCTTTCTAAGCCTCAGTATTTCCACCTGTAAAATGGGAATAATAATATCTACCTTAAAATGTGTATCTGTGAAGCAATTAGTAAAGGGTCCTTATACAAAGCAAGACCTCTGTAAATTATAGCTCTTATTAATCTTTGACACAACAAGCTACTGAGAATTAAACATATTTATACATTAATCTTCACATAAAAACATACTGTCGTCTTAAATTGCACCTACACCATGATTCCCACATTTAATCGACTCTTTTTGCATAACATGAAATAGTGACTAACTTTCCTGAGACATGCCCCCAACACATT